CGCTCATCTTGAGCCATCTTTGAAATTCAAGTGAGGGGCATGATCCTTAAATATGGGGCAGTTGGGTACATCAGTGACTGACCATAAAACCCACAGCAAACATACCACTCACCTTGAATACATTCTTATCAAGTGCCATAAACCAGCAAAAGTTATCTGTAGAATAGGAGTGTAAATCCATAGTCTTCACCAAATTTCCATTTGTAGCATCTTCTGGACAGAGCCAAATAATTAGAGCGATAGTTTGGGGTTTTTTCTTGGCATGTTCATTTTTTTGGTTACAGATATACAGTAATATATATCTGTATTTTTTAGCACTGCAGGTGATAGCCAGCAAAGTTCTGAAATACTTAGTTTTGAGCAGTCTTCCAATTTCTCTCTGTCAAGAGTTAAGGAAATTTATCATTTAAATTATTCCATTCTTTCAAAGATACAGGTAAATGAGACATAATTCTGTACCAGAAATGGTGGGAAAAGAAACAGATACCTGATGCAATGAATATATTTTGTAATAAGGTACTGGATTACAAATTATTATAACTGTGTGATTAAAAAAAAAGAGAATCACAGGCTGCAAAGATAAAAATGCAAAAGCACAATTTCAGGAACATCACAGATGTTCAGTGTACATGCGGTTGTATACATTTTTAAAGAAAGAGCGTGCCTGATCCCAAACAGCTAAAATATTCACAATCCAAACAAAATGGCAATTAAAAGGCAACAGAGGGAGAACGCTCACGGAGGGAAAAACCGCAATCATAATAATCACCGGAAGGCCAATTTACTGCCCTTGCCTGCAGATAAAGGCATACGTAGCATGACTATAGTTCAAAACACGATGAAACAAGAAACATTATGGCACAGTGCCTTTCCCCTGCTTGCTTCTCCACTGGCATGTAGTTACATTGTGAACTCCTTACAGTGTAGGCAGGAGGCACTTCTGTCTCTTCAAATACTGTATGGCCCTCCTAACACCATGACTCCTCAAACCCACAGGCTGCAATACACATAATAAACAACTTTCCTCGATCATTTTGTGTATGTCCACAGTTATAAGCACTGTATAGTCATTGACTAGTCTTTGTTGCTAAAGATATTTATTGTATCACTTTCGTTCCTGTGCCCACCCAGGGTAGGCAGGGTTCATAATTTAGCATGTCCAGATGGTGGATGGAGGTGAACTTAAAAGTGACCCTGGGGTCTGGCTTTTTTAAGTGAGCTCTAACCAATGCGCTGGTTACGAGAACTAAGGGAAATAGACGTCTGCATCCTGCTGCCTTGTTGATGCCGTGGGTCAGTGGTTTTTCCCGTGTGTTTCACATCCTTAGTAAATGCCTGGGTTCAAAGCAAAACCCAAATCTTCTGGGGCTCCAACCTGCAAAGAGATTCTCTGTAACCTGTGCCTACAGTGCGCTCGAGCAATAGCCGCAGGGAAGGGAGTGACACACGGAGAGGGAAAGCAGCGGGGGGGAGCAGAAACCTCAGGCGGCGCAGCTGGAGGAAAGGCTTTGAACTTCCTCACTGAACCGGTACCTCTCTGAGCGGCCCCGCCTGGGCGTGTGCATCTGGCCAGGGTGTTTCAAAGGTCTCGGTTGGTGGGGCGAGTCCGGAATGAAGCCTCCGCAGCTGGGGTGGTTCGATTTGAGGTCGGATTTTTAAGGGGGTCCGTTGCCAGTGAGAGTTACCAGGCGTCTCCTTGCGTGGTGTACAGCCGCGCTGAGGATGAGCGGGGGGGGGGGGGGGGGGGGGGCGGCGCGGCGGG